GAAGATCTAAAGTTAATGAGCAGATTTGATTACTTAATCCACTCAACATACCTGAGGCCCCTCTGTGTCCCAGGCTCCGTGCGAGGTGCTGATGATGGCACGTGAGCAAAGCAGACAAAAATCCCTACCCTGGAGTAGCCCAGCTTCCGGTAGGAGAAGACAGGGAGACAACAGGAATAAACACATGGTATGGGTAGACAGAGAAAAAGTGAGGTGAGGAGCCCGATGGGGATTTGCGTGTTTCAACTGGGCGGTCAGAAGAGGGCCCCACCAGTCGGGTGACAGAGGATCAAAGGCCCGGAGGAGGAGAGGAGAGGGCCGGTGGTGGCATGAGAGGCAGGGGGAGCACAACCAGCACAAAGGCCTTTGGGGAAACTCTGCTGCTTACTCTGACAGACAAGCCACTCGGGTGAGAGCCAAGGCAGACCAGTTGGGAGACCTGCAAAAAGAAAAGGGGGGGGTGGGGAGGGCGCATGTGGGCCTGGGGTGGTAGCAGGGGAGGCGGCGAGAACTGCTGGGCTCCGGGTCTGTGCTGCCGCTGCTGCTGGGCACCTGGGGCAGGGGTCTGGCCCCAGCAGCAGCGGGGAGCAGAGTTGCCACGGTGCAACCTGAGCTTGTCCCAGACAGGGCTCTTGAGAGGTCGCACCGCGGCAACGCCAATCTTAGAGCACTCTAAAAAAGTGCACATAGGTTCCGGTAGATGTGGTGCCAAGAGGAGAGACTCAGAGGTATTCTTGGTACAAACTGGCCAGAATTGCCTAGAGGGCACAGATCCACAGAGGTGGTGAAAAGAACTCAAACTAATGTTTTAAAGATGTGAGTGGTGGGAACAGGAAAGCGAGCAGTTTGATGCTGTTTGCAGTTGTTCTCGTTAAAGCAGTCACCTCTGGAGGGGGTGAGGGGGTGGGGGGCCTTAGTCTCCATTTAGCCCTCCTGTACGGTTTTAATTTGTATTACTATATGCATTATTAATTTTATAACAGAAAATTGGCAAGCATTCTTAATGTGGTTTTTTTTTTTTTTAAATCATGGCTCCAAGCAGAATGAGGCCGATTTCTATGTTCTTACATAGAAGAATGTCCAAGATCATCGAGAATTTATGATTGATGTGTATGCCATGATGAATGATATGTATGCCATTAATCTGTGCATGTCCATGCATACGTGTGTCCGTGTATTGGTCCATCAAGAAAGGTCTGGAAGGGTAGATACAACTTCACAGTGGTTCTTTTTGCAGCGTGAGAACGGGAAAGGGCCTGGGGGTGGAGGGACCTTTGTTTTCCACATTCTCTGTGCTCTTGCCTACTTTTCAAAGGCGTACTGACATGTGCTGTGATTTACGGTTAAGGCCTTCCCTATACTCTGCTTCAGTCAGAGCTCAATTAAACTTCTCATAATCCAAATAAGAATGATTGAAATTTCAAATAAACAGGCAGTAGAAACTTCTAGTCTTTTCTCTTAGTCCTGTGAGAAATAAGAGACTATATAATGGCAAACTAAGAAAACAGAATGAACACATGACAGATGTCTACTTGACTCATGAATGAGAGAACAAACAGATGGTAAAAGAGCATTTGAGGAACTGAGTATTTACAGTCAATGACGAATTGGGGAATTAAGTCACTAGGTTAACCTAGAACCAAAAATAGTTAATGTCCTCCAGGGTGATAAAACCATGATATCATGATCTTTAGGTCATCATTTCTACCAGAAAGAAATCAGTTGCATCTTCTCTGGACAAAAGTCTGTAAATTACATGTAATTTCAGAGAATTAAACAGTCCCTGGGTGGGTCTGTTAGGCTGTGCTCAGCATAATATTGAAAGGATATGCAATCTTCTTTTTGCCTTGTTTATAGATGTTGGATACTTTTTCTTAAAATAAGAAACAAATTTACATATTGGCAGCTGAGTCTTTCCATTTTCCAAATGGAGTTTGCTCTTAATATTAATCTGCTTTTCACCATCTTCTGTGTCTGTTTTCAATCAGGAAGGAAAATTACCAACAAGTAAGTCTAGAATTGCAATAATGTTCCATGCTAAAAACTAATTTTAATACTGTTTTGCTACTCACCTTGATGGATGCTAAAAGCAACTTACAAGCAATTGAAATTTTGTATCAAGATCAAAGAAAAAAAAAGAGTTCTCATATCTGCTTTGAGTTGATGCCAACAACAAAAATCAATTGATACTAACTGCAGTTTCGAATGTTTTCATGGATTTTGGAACATGACTTTGGGCAAGTTACTGAATTTCTTAGCCTCAGCTTCATCCTCCATGAAAAATAAGACTTTTTCCCTGCATTATTGCACGTGAGATGAGATGCTGACAGACACAAGCCTGGGAGCGCCCTGCTGAGTTCTTCCCTCACTGCGTTAATGTACACTCACAGCTCGTAATTTTCTGCTTTGGGGGCTTCCCTTGTGGGTTTTTCTCATTTGTCTTTTGCTACTTGGATGTGTCCTTTTATCTCCTTGTGATTTTAAGAGATATAACCTACATTTTTAAATCTTACCAATTGCTTCTCAAAAAAAAAAAAAAAGTGTATTTCTCACCTTCTTTCCTTTTTTGGAAAGAATGGAAGTGGTTTTTTTTTTAAGTCCCCTACCGTTAGATGTGAAATTTAACAAATCTCTCTCTGACCAAATGCCATGTAAATTGGAATCACTTTCCCAGATTTTGTCCCATTTCTGAGAAATATAGAAACCACCAAAACATGAATTTATCTAGAAGCTGTCACAATAATACACCTAGCTCATGTAGTGATCGTTCAGTTCACTATTCACTAGGATCTTGAGAAGTTGAACCATGTGTTTGTCAATAATTTTTGTAAATAGCAATCTGTTCACTCAAATACAGTAATTAAATACGCTAGAAGAGTGAAATTTCGGTGCCTCAGCTTCAGGCAGATGCATACCCTCCCATTTCCCCAGCACCCGTTGGCAGTGTGCTACTTAGCTGGATGAGACGATCCTTCGGGACTCTCCATCTGTTCTGTCTGTAAGCTCTTCGGTATCGTGAAGGACTCTATTAATATGTAGCCCTTAATTTGCCCCAAAGTGTTTTTCTGTTTTAACTTCAGTAAGTGCAGTTTGCAAGAGGACAATGAGACCCAAAAACCTTGAAAAATTGGTTTTAAAAGCAGTACAGAAATGGAATATACTTAAAAACCACTGAATTGTACACTTTAAGTGTGAATTGTATGCTGTGCAAATTATATCTCAATAAAGCTTTTTAAAAATAGTACGAAAGAAAAAAATGAGTGCAGTGAGCATTCATGCCATCATACTGGATGTAACTGTTGTAAATATGTTATTTCAAACTGCTATTACTTATATACACTGTCTTCATTACTCAATGTATTTTTCTAGCTGTGAAAAGTATTTGGGTATCTTGGGCTAAAATGGAATTCATAATTTTTTTCAATTAAAATTAATGGATTTTGAGGCACCAGGGTGGCTCAGTCAGTTAAACGTCTGCCTTTGGCTCAGGTCATAATCCCAGGGTCCTGGGATGGAGCCCCGCATGGCCTGCTTCTCCCTCTGCCTGCCACTCCCCTTGCTTGTGCACTCTCCCTCTCTCTCTTCTTTTCTCTCTGTCAAATAAATAAAATCTTTTTTTAAAATTTAAATTAAATTAAATGGCTTTTTTTTTTCCACGTAATAGCTTTTCACTTAGAAACATTTTCAGGGACAAATTAAGGTTGTCAGGCAAGAAAGAGGTTTAGAAACTCTGAGTTAAAGTTTTAAGGGGGATTAGGCTTGGCAGAGAGGCTACTAAAATCCACGTAAATGCCAAATTGATTTGCCCTGAAGGTAGGTTGGCATCTACCACGCCCACTGAGAAAGACTTCAGACCTGCAAAATGGGCGGGGGGGGGCGGGGGGGGAGACTATGTAGTGAGTGAGGGGAAGTTAAAGAAGCCAGTGAAAGAGAGAAAAACCAGAGAAGATCCAAGAGATGGCAAATAGGTAATGACTAAAAGCTGACTGGGAAACCGAGTTTGCCGTTCCACCAGCAGACTGTACTTGGCTATCAGAAAGTCCGTTGGCTTCATTCAGTTCTAGGTTTCAGAAAAAAAACATAAATAGCTCCAGGCTTTTAATTAGTGTAAAAGCAATTCTCTAAGCTCAAAAGTAACTTCCATCCACTTACTCTATCTTACCTTACTTTGTAACAAACCACAATTTTCTGCCTTGTTTTCGCAGAGAGAAAAGCTGGAAGATGACCCAGTCTGGGTACGTTTTTAGTAGAAATACTAAAATAGGAGAAATCTAAGCAATAGCACACATAAAAGAATATCTTGAAGGCACATAACAAAGGTATTATTTAGTAAATCAGAAATTTAGAATCTGTGTAATGCCTAAAGTTTTGACCAGTTATTTCCAGTAATAAGAAAGGGGAAAAATAAGTATCTGGGTTCTAACCACCAAGTGCTGATTCTGACCTTCAGGGATTTTATTTTTTTCTGATAAAGGATGAAGAATCATCGAATCCAAGAAACCAAATAAATTCTTTTACAGAGTTGGGCTTTTTTTGTTTTGTTTTTTGCTTTTTGCTTTTTTCATATTCCATCTGACCCCAGTCAAGAGTAAGGAAAAGAGAAGAGAAGCCAAGAGAAGGGGCGCCTGGGTGGCTCAGTCCAGATGTCAAGTTTTTTAAATAAAAAGTTGGGAATGAAAATAACAAAAAATACAGTTTTACGGAAGAAAATGCCACACATTTCTTTAAATATTTTACTGCAATAACATACAACTACGCATTGCTATTATTTATTTACACTTTATGAAAAGCACACTTATTCAACATAGTTACTCAATCTGAAATTAACTATTTTAAATAGATTATCTAACTTTCAGTGCTAATGCATGAATCTCTTTATCTTAAATATAAATCAAAATAGCTCAATACCTACTTTACATTATAAGGAATGAGATGCCAGGCATTATAAGGATTATGAGTCAATATTTTAATTAGGTTAAAACTTGCAATAATTTTTTTTTTCAATAATTTCTTCTTTGTTTTTCTTCTTTGTCTAGAATAGTCTGTTTTAAGCTCAAAGTAGCATCTTTAAATCCTGGATTTAAGTCTAATACCTTCTTGAAATCTTCCAAAGCATCATCAAAGTACCCTGTACCAGAACCCAAAAAATGAAAAAGAATAATAAAACTGAGTATTTCTAAACATTATTCATAACAAAGTTCAGATACACATGCTTTTATATTTATGAGCTTTCAACCACACCTAGTAAAGGATTTTTTCCTCTTAATAACGACATATGGATGTGTCTATCAAAGTAACTTTCCATGCCCGTGTAGAATAATTAAAATTAAAATGTTAAATTAGCTTTAAATGAACACTTAAAATTAGCTCTGGGTTTATTTCTTGAGATTTAACAGGGAAATAGCATAAATCATCATAAAATCTCAACAAAATCCTATCACCTATTTTACACGATTACAGTAAAATTAAGAAACAGGAAATTAGTATTCTTTTTAACACTTTAAAAAGGAAACAATACCTACAGTCCCTTTAATCCAAAGATCTAAAACCCCTTCACTTCATACTGTCTTGTGTGCCTTTAAAAATTTTAACTCAGAAAAGTTCCACAGGTGGTCATCCGCACTGTCCTCAAAGTAGTGGGGTCACCCTCACCCAGCGCCAGGTCCAATCCCCACCCCAGGGCTCCACTGTGGTCTGTAAAGCCTGCCAGAAGCCTAAAATAAATGCTTCCTTTGTTCTGGGCTCTACACCCAAATTTTACATGACTTTAAGACTTGACGATTACTACATTAGTTTCACATTTGAGAGCTCTGAATTCATAAAATATAGTCCAGGGCAAAAGGGAAAAAAAAAATTCTTACCCAGCCTATACAATATCAACCCTCTGTTGTAATAGGGAACTTCAAAAGTGGGTTGGACTTGTATGGCAGATGTGTAGTCATCCATGGCTTCATAAAAATCAACCCTGTAGTACTTGATTTGCCCCCGGTTATTAAATGCAGTAGCCAAATCCTCAGGGCTGTATTTGCTTTAAACAAAAAGTTCACATAAAAACGTGTGTTAGCAAATTCCTCTCGTTTCCACCTTCATTCTCTTTTGGGTGTTGTCAACCTTCGTAGCCTGTAACATGCGGTATCTACGCTGAAAAAAAACCAAGCTGAAGAAACGAAGTGCAAAGAAATAAGGCAGTGGAATGAATTTTTGTTTAATCCCATGATCTACTTCGTAGCATGGCAGTGCTACCCGTCAGTCCGAAAAACACATTAATTCTATAATGTGCTCAGAGCCCTTGTGCATTGTCAACTTGTTTTGCAGAATTCAATATTCAAAAGACTGTTCGTTTTCTAAGGATGCACCAGCAGGGCAAAGAAGATCAGATTCACGCTGAGCAAGGAGGAAAAGCCAGCCCCGAGCTCCAGTTTGCAATGGACATACCACAAAGTGAACCATCAATGTTATTCTCAAAGTTCTAAGTGATCCCGCCAAAAATGAGATTTTAAATCACTTTTCACCAATAAAGAAATACAAGTTGACCATAAGTGAAGATTCAACATGCTGTCGCCCAAGGAGGGGATAGAGCTGCCTTCCCTCCCGTCTCAGCTGGGATCGCCCCCAAGGCAACACTGGCCTCCTGCGAGGAAGGACATCGGGGCTCAGGTTCATTCTGGGGGTCCTGTGTGCCCAACGGGCTCTGCTTCTGAAGGCTCCAGAGGCTGCCCCGGGAGCTCTGGGTGGGCAGGGTCTCCAGTAAGGGCAGCTCTGACCAGCCACCGGCTCAGCAGGTCAACCCGCCCCCGCCAGACGATTCGTTTGTACCGAGAACACGAACGGACTCTGCTCTGTGTCAGACACAATTCTGTTTTCCTTTCTTTTTTTCCAAAGGGATTCTCACATTTGAACCAAAGACAAAAGGCACAGGCTACACTCAACTGTCATTTCTTCATTATGCCCCCTACTGCAAAGTACAGTCCTCAGAAAAGATCGAGGCTGCAGTCCATGCTAGTAAAAAGAGACTTCTGTTAGTATCTAGACCCTTGAGATCTGACAGGCACGGCAACCACTGCTACCACAAGAGGTACTCACAGGGGTCTCCTTCAAGTCTAAGTTCACTAACGATGGACAGAACTACTGCAACACGAGAAAACTTGTTTCTGGGAGCTATGACAGAGACTGGGTGCAAGCATACTTCTGGACATCACTAGCACTATCGTTGTAACCCCCGTAAAGGGTTTTAAGAAAACTGCAGCCTCAGGACTCCACAAAGGTTTCAGACATTCAATTTTTAAGCTTCGAAACTTTGTTATAAGATTCTTACATTCAGAGGATCATAAAAAGTTCGGTTTAGAATTAGATCTCATTACAACAAATTCTAAAAGCCTACTTTTCATGTGGAAACTGCTTCATATTTTAAAAGATGTGGGTTAATCATTGAAGCCGAAATGTTTTTGACAATATTAAGATTTTTGTAATGATAGTATTTATCATACTAGTATTTAACTTCCTAATACAAATGTGGATTTTTTTCCATTTGCAAACTTTAGCAAAAAAAAAAACTTGGAAGGTTTATGACTAAGGCTGCACTTTGGGATATGAAAAGAAAATGTTATAAACTATTCAGTGGCAGGCATGCAAAAATTGTAAATGCTTCTTCAAAATGGTTCAGTGACCCATTATTTTAAAAAATAAATTTAAGCTAAAAGATATTTTTAAGGAAAAAATCTGAAATGACAGAATCCATTTTAAATTCATGAGTTCCTATAAGAATTTCAGAACTATAAGGAAATTGGAAGGTTCATTCAGGCATGCTGAGCAACCTTCCAGCAAACCATGGAGGTTTTCTTCCCTGTGTTGGGAAGAGGCAGATATTGTATCTACTATAAACACATATTGGTGGCTCTTAGGCTGAATGTGCAAAGGAAACTAGATGGTGTCAGTCTATCTGTTGCTGATGAATACTTTTTGAAACCTATTAGCTTGAAATGATAGAAAACTACATTTTCTATGTTTACTAATCTTTTGAGGGGGGGGGCTGTGGTGGGGAGGCTCAGGGGATGGTCTTATTGCCTGTTCAGAAATTTCTATTAACTGTTACCTTGGTGTATTATCAAAACATGAAAGCCATTTTATTTTTCTGGTTTAATTCCACATGAGTTTAACGAACAGGAGAAGAGCTGCAAGCCTCATACAAAAGACAAGCTGACATCCTGTCAAGAAAAACCAAATCCTTGAAGGGAGAAAAGAATGATGGTGCAGATGATTCAAAACCCTCAAAAAGCTGTTCATTCCACTCCTCTCTGTTCTTTCTCATCCTAGTCCACCTCACTGCATCAAGAAGAACAAAGGCAAAATTTGGAGGACCAACAAATGCTACACACCCAGGCATAAATCCAAGGCACTTTGGGCAAGCAGGTATTAGCAGGTGAAGTCGCTAATATCACAAAAAGAAAGACAGTAGTATATGCTTTCTAACAAAAGTACACAGCACCACCTAACATATGCTCGCCGTAATACTGGATCTGAATTGGATCAAACCTCAGGATTTAACTACCAACTCACAAGCAGTGTAGGAGACAGGGGACCGTATTAAATGACATCAGGGGGATGAATTCAGCAAATCCAAAATATGGGGAACTCTCAAGACACACGACTGGCTTCCTCAACAAACTTCAAGGGGAAAGAAGGGGGAGCCTTACAGATTGAGACCTGGCGTGCATCCTGACCTGAACAAACTGCTGCTAAAAAAAAAAAAAAAATCAGCCAAACAAAAACGTTATTAATCAGTCAGGAACCAACACTGCATATTTCATATTAAGGAATCACGTAATAATAATGATACTGTGGTTGTTTCCCTAAGAATCCTTAATATTTAGAAATGCATTTTGAAATATCCATGGATGAATGCATGGGTGAAATGGTAATATTTAGACCGAGTGATATCCTCCCCCCACTACACACACACACACACACACACACACACACACACAAGTAAAAAACGAAACACCCTTGCGGTGAGGTGGTGGCTGGAGTCGCGGTCCCATGTACTAGCGAGTCACCTCGCCGTCTCCAGGTCTCAGACATCCGCCTGTTAAAATGACAGGTGGAAAAGCCCTATCCGCTCTAAGTCGTGGGTCAGAGTGAGTAACGTAGTAAGACCCCCGGGGCGGGAGGCAGCCAGCGCCCGTCGCCGCCCTTCTGGAAAGACAAACAGTCGCCCGCTGCATCCTCGGTGCCAGAATGCTCAGGGGGCTGACCGAGGGACCTGACGACCCCTGCCTCCCACCTCCCGGAGGCGCCGCTGCCCCACTTCTCGCGATAGTTACCTCCCGGGCGCCGCTCCCACGGAGCCTGCACAGGCGTACTGGCGAATGTAAGCGGAATACAGCGCTTCGGCTTCCGCGTAGTCGCCCTTCTTGAAGTGAGCTTGGGCGAGTGCGAACGTTGCGTGGCTTTGTTGCCCTTGCTGCCCATCCATGGCGGTCGGAGGCCTAGCGTTCCGTGTAGAAAGGGGGTTGACTTCTGCGCGTTTAGAGGCGGCACCACAGAGCCACTTCCCCACTCCCGGAATTTAATTTGACCGCAAAACCTCGGCGCCTAGCAAAGGGGGAAGTTTGTGCCTTCGGAGGACCCATCATCTCGCGAGATCCATCACACGGTGCTGGCAGGGAACTCGGGCGGCCCAGGAAAGTCTGACCGACTCCTCTGAAGTGCGGTCTGTTATTACTGCTGGTTCCGCCTGCTTCCTTTTCCAGAACAGTAGATTGATGGGCCCACGCTGGTTTCCAGGTCCGTTGATGTTGCGAAGAGCTTGTCCTTCGTTACAGCGAGTTGTGGGGGTAGGGAGCTTCACCATGCCGGAAGCAGAAGGAAGCTTGGTCTGTCTCATGAATGGCTCAGGGGCCCGCAGATTTATTGTAGCGCCCCTCGGGGTTACAGAGTCCACTCTTTGCAAAACACCTGGTAGAGGGTGGCTGCCGTTACTCTGAGACACTGTGGAAATCCCTCGAGCTTACGAATTCAGATTACCATTTATTAGCTCCAAGAGCCTAGATTGCATACTTCTCGAACCTCTGGAATAGTGTAAGGATCCATTAAATAATATTTTGTGCTGACAGTCTGTTATGTTAGTTTACATTCCCTGGTTGTCAATGCCAAAGGGGAAACCCAGATAGTAATTTCTTAAGTACAGTATGTTTAAGAATTACGTAAAAAACAATCCAGAGAAGGAGGTTAAGGAAACAATTCTATTTATAATAGCATCAAAAAGGAATAAAATATTTCGGAATTAACCAAGAAGTGGAAGACTTGTACAATGTAAACTACAAAACAGTGCTGGAAAAAATTACACATAAATAAATGGAAAGACATCCTTTGTTCAAGTTAAAGGGACCATTAAGTTAAAGGGAATCCATTTCTAAATCCCAGTGATGTTTTTACAGAAATAAAAAAATCCATCTTAAAGTTAATACGGAATTTCAAGGGATCCCAAACAGCCAAAAACAATTTTGAAAATAACAAATACCTCCTGATTTTGAAATTTAACTACAAAGCTACAGCAGTCAAAACACTATGGTATTAGCATAAAGAGAGTATTTTCAATAAATGTTGCTGGAAAAACTAGATATTCGCGTTCAAAAGAATTAAGTTAGATGGATCATATAAAAAAATTAACTCAAAATAGATCAAAAACCTAAATGTAAGAGCTGAAATATAAGATTCTTAGAAGAAAACATAAGGCAACAGTTTTGTGACACTGTATTTGGCAACTTCTTGGATATGACCCCAAAGACAAAGAAAACATAAACAAATTGGGCTTCATGAAAATTGAAAACTTTTGTAAAAGACTATAAACAATACAAAGACAGCCCAGAGAATGGGAGAAAATATCCAAAAATCATGTGTCTGATAAGGGAAACGTGGGAGATGCTGGGCTGGTGTGTCCTCCACTGGTAAGACACACAAAGGATTCTGACATGGTGTCTCTGTCACACTTGAGAAGCTCTGGTCTACAGGACACTGGAGGGCCTAACCTGTGATTTTGGTGCTGGGGCTAGGCTCAGATGCGGTCCCTCCCTCTCACATCAATCTTCACAGAGTCCACTTGCAGGTGGTGCTTTGCCTGGGGAGTGGCATCAACAACCCTCCCCTTTGCCAACTCATCCAGAAATACAGCTGCAACAAGATGGTCAGCTGAAAATGTTATGTTCGCCCACAACCTCCTTCTGTCAACTCCTGCAAAAAGTGTGGCCACACCAACCACCCACGCCCTGAGAAGAAAGTCAAATAAGGTCCCTACTTGGGCTCCTCCTTCCCCTACAGGGCCACCGCTTGCCTGAGCCCCATGGCCCCAAGGCCCCAGTAAAGTTTCACTCTGGTTGACTAGAGCAGTGGGAAAAAAATACACATACACACAAACACACACATATACATATACTTTTTCCTCTAGAATATATAGAGAACTTTTAAAACTCAACTTTTTCATAGTAGGTCTACCATTTTGCATTTGCACCAGCAGTGTATAAGGGTTTCAGTTGTTCCATATCCTTTTCAATACTTGGCAATATTAATTTTAGCTATCACAGGATGTGGAGTGGTATCCCATTTTTCTCTAGATTTTACAAACTAGAAATTTAAGCTATGCCAAATAAGAAGTGAGTAAATATTAACTCTAAGCCTCTTCATGTCTACTGTTTCTTTTAATTTTAGAGAAATTTCTTAAGAATAGCTCTTGTCATGAAGAAAACTTACAGTACAGCAATTTCTTCAGTTTGACCTGTTTTTTCTTCTCCTAAATTCAACTAAAATATGAATTAATGCCTTTAATTTTGAAGAGGTTATTAAGACCATTTTCACTTCTCATCTCTCATAAATACTCTTTATGTATGTTTGTAGTTTTCTACTGTGGATATGTTACTTTTCTAAAAATATGTTTATTTTCAAAAAATACGCATTGATTTCTTAAAAAAATAACTTGAGAATAATCATAAGATTAGACAGTAGGGGGCAACATAATATTGCCATTTTCATTTTAGAAATTCAGCAGCCATATCTTAGAGCTGTAACATTATCAAATAAGTACTTCCCATGTTCTCTTAAAAGTCTGGTAAAATAACTTTCCCCCCATTTCTAAATGAGAACTCTGTATGATTTCTAGAGTAATTCACTGCAACCTCCAGTCATCTGACATTTGCCTTGTACCTTTCTAAAAAGTTGTTTTTTCTGTTTGGTAGCAAAAAATGATATTAGAAATCTCCTGGACCTCGTGTCCCTTTCTCCCCTATCCACTCTGAAGCCCAACACTCTCCTAACCAACCCCCCACCAAAATATTTAAGTCAAAACAAAACAAATACCATGTTATCCTTAAGTTATAGATAAAGGAAACTGGGGATAAATACAAGTCATTTTTACTTCAAAGCTTACTGTTTTCTTTTTTTTTTAACTTAATGCCACATAAAACCTAAAATCTCAGCTCTTGGAATACAAAAAGATCATTTCAAAGTGTATTTTAGCAAAAACAAAAAAATGTGTAATAAAATCGGCATTTGTGCATGATAGGTCAACAATGTTGATAAGCACATTGCTTATCACTATAAACTTTATCTGTTGTTCCCATCATCTCAATTCTTTGGCCTATCAAAGTATTTTCGAGCTGTGAAAGGTAATATAATTCTACTTTGAAACTTCACATAATTCAGGCCAAGTTTTGTGATAAAGAGCAACTCAGCATTACTTAAATGGAGTCAGTACATGCTTCTTACAGGAAGAGAAACAATATAACTGCTTCATTATACTGTCTTCAATATATGCCTCATTCTGTCCAACTTCTCCCCAAGTATTTGTTACATATAGACCATTTTGCTTCTCTCTGCTCCTTTCATCGAACAGGAGAGAGTTTGTTGGTGTTGTTATCCTGAAATTTCCTTCATGCTGATTAAACTGAATTAGGTCAACTCATACTATAGGTCTTTCCCTAGTACTATTTTTTTTTTTTTTAAAGATTCCATCTATTCATTCGAGAGACAGACAGACAGAGAGCATGAGCAGGGGAGAGAGGCAGAGGGAGAAGCAGACTCCTGATGAGCAGGGAGCCCGATGTGGGGCTCGATCCCAGGACCCTGGGATCACGACCCGAACCGAAGGCAGACACTTAACCATCTGAGCCACCCAGGTGCCCCTCCCTAGTACTATTTTTAAGCAAGACAGAGGTCCCCAAGACATTCTGGCAGATCACTGAAACTTTCAGAGATGTAAGTTCCAAACAGACATAAACTTTCACAATAGTAGAAAAGATATGCCTGTATATATGTGTGTATACATGTATGTATACACACATCTACATGGAATTGGAATTGAAGCTACTGGGAGTGTAATCAACAAGTACAGTAAGGTCTAGAGGATTGACAATCTGAGTTCTCAGCTGATTCCTGGGATGGGAAAAGAGAAGATGTATTAGGAATTAGACCATGGACTAAGAATCACAACTCTGAACATGCAGTCCTGCAGGAATCCTTCACCCTACATCCCTAAAAATTTCTCTTCCACTGATGAAGCAGTGAGTAGTTTTATCCTGAAAAAAGAAAGTCTTATAGAAAGATGTAAGTAAGGGGCCCAGTGGGTTGAGCAATGACTCTTGGTTTCCACTCAGGTCACGATATCAGGGTTGTGAGATCGAGCCCCACGTAGGGCTCCGTGAAACTGTGTTAAACTTAAATAAGTAGGTAATTTATGGGGCGCCTGGGTGAGTCAGTCATTAAGCGTCTGCCTTCGGCTCAGGTCATGATCCCAGGGTCCTGGGATCGAGCCCCACATCAGGCTCCCTGCTCCGCGGGGAGCCTGCTTCTCCCTCTCCCACTCCCCCTGCTTGTGTTCCCTCTCTCGCTGTGTCTCTCTCTGTCAAATAAATAAATAAAATCTTTAAAAAAAAAAAATAAGTAGGTAATTTATGAGGTGTGTTAGACAAAGTAAGTAGAGTACATGTGTATGACCATACCTCATATTAAAGAGGCACTAAAAATACAAAAGGCAACCAATGTACTATTCATGATGCACTAAATATGCATGAGACCTATAGTGTTCAATATGTGGGAGATCTTGATACAATTAGTCATTGGTGACACTTACTCTGGCCAGTCCTCTGCCCAAGAGATACAATCCAATCAAATCCATGACTGCTCAGCAGACTAACTGGCAACCTATGGCTGCGACCTGGTATACGGGCCCCATAGCCTCTTATAGAGCAAATGTCCATCACTAGCTTCAGGCACATTCCCTATGACTGGGTCACCTGGCTCAAACCTCAGCTCTGGTCCTCTTTGTAACCACACTATCAGGGGGAAGCTGACTGGGCAGAATGGGAATCAGGACACAAGAACAGAACAGAACTCACAATTCAGGTAATGTAATCTTTCTACCCCACTGACACCCTACCCTAACAACAGTGTTAATCTGCCCAATCACTTTCTCCTTGTTCCTGTGTATTTCAAATTGATTCAATAAACCCTGTGAATTAAAGCATCCTCATTGGTCTGTACCACCTTCTGCTCCATGACTTCTGGAATGGC